AGTGTGTTCATTCGAAGAGTAAGTACGTAAAAATTCACCTCCCTTTCAACTGAGCACTGATAACTCAGGGGTAGAATCTCCAACTGATGCCAAATCGGTCAGGTTCGCTTGCGGTTTGAGACAATCAGATGTCTATCCACACTGATGAGCTGTGATACAGTGAAACAGTCCGTCTGTGGATGACAATATATATATATATATATATAATAATAATAATAATATTTTTTGTTTAAAAATATGATTCCTTCGCTACATAAGAGTTCTCATGTTTCAAAAACGGGAGCTGAAACCATCCAAATAATTATTAAAATTAAGTTGAATTGTGGTGTTTAGTCCCGTTTCATCTTCAAGCGAAATTTTAGGAATAAGCTATCTTGGTTTATGTGTGTTTTTAGGCATGGTCCTTTACAGAATTCGTTATTGTGGGAGTGGCTAGACTATTTTCCTTCGTTAAGTGGTCAGAGAGTTATCAATAGATTCATCATCTTCTGAGAGGTTTTGCTAAGGTTGGGTAGTGTATCTATTTCAAGGCTAATGTTTGCGGTCACCCCTTAGTTGGTTCCCAGTGAGGGATATTTTTATGGCACACCTACAAGTCGTTATGTGTCTGGAGGATTGTCTTTTATTATTGTCCATCTGATTATCTATTTATTCATTTGTTTATTCAAGTGGGTGTTTTATATACAAATCGTATTGCACTGAATTTCAATTTGTTTTTTTTTGTTTTTTGACGACTACAAAAAGGGTTTTTCCTATTTAATGATTTGGTTAAACTTTTAAGACTTTTATTTAGCTATGGGATTTTTTTTTTTTATGCTAATTATTTAATGCGAAAGTTTGTTGATGTCGGCAAAAAACCATTAACTCCTGCCTATGGTTTAATAATTTTTCATTATTTAGAAATTTAATGATATGTAGTTTTTTCCTTTTTTATATATATTATATATATATATATATATATATATATATAATGTAAAATTAATTTCTTTTGAAAATCTTGAATTCATTTACTTTGAAAGTTTTCCCCATCAGCCATAACAATCTGCAACTTTTCCTGCTATGCACTGGTGACCAAGAACAACCTCATCGAATACAAATTCTAACACTCTTCTCTACAAAGTTGTTAGGAGGTTACTTATTGTTTCCATGTAATTCTCTTGCCTTCTATTTATACTGTGAGTGTTAAATTCTCCAAGATTTCTTTCCCCCTTTATGTGTCCTTGTTGTGTCAGAAACCTACCACCCCTCTGGAAGATGAACTTGTCTGCGAACAAAGACTTTAAATAGTGGCATGTCAGAAGACTGAAGACATAGAAGTTCTTAGCTGACTTCCGACGTCTGTCGAACTCTCTGCATTGGCAGAGAGGAACCCGGACGAAGCTTTGCCGAAGGGCAAGGTTTCGTCCGGGGAGGTAGACAGGGCCTGAACCCGTCTAATCGGCTTCAAAAGGCTATTTTTTTTGGCCGAGCCTACGGGCTTGGAGAAACCCACAATAAAACCGGCCTTGTGCCATATTCGTTTCCCGTGGGTGAAATGATAAATACTCAGAGAAGTTCTTAGCTGAGCTAGTTATTGACTACTCAGGCGATTTCTGTACCTTTTTACCAACCTATTAAAACCCTTTTTGTTGTTACGTGTTATTTGGCGTTTGTCTCTACTAACTCCAAATCAACATCATAACAATCCTAGAAATTTTTTACTGCTTCTTTCTGATTGTATGAGTTTTCTTGTGGTTCCTATTTTCATTAAAGCTTCCTCATTGCTCATATGTTAAGTCCATATCATTCTCTGTATCCTTTGATAGAACCACATCTCCGTGAAGTCTCCTCTTCATCTGTGATGGAATTCTCCATCATTCACAGCCATATAGGAAATTAGATATTCGATAGAAGCTCAGCAATTTTTTTTTGTTACTAATGACATCTTCATATATGCCTTCAGCTTGCTATCATTAAAATAGCTACTGATTTTTAGTTCTGATATTAACTTCTTAGATTTTATTTTTAATAATTTTAAAACTTCAAATAGATTTATATGAATTAATAACGGAATATAATACGACAAAAGATAAGTTTTGACCCAAAACTTTGTTAAGAAAAAGAAAAAAAGGGAAAACGTAAAATGTTCGCATATCAAGGGAAATAATTTAGTGACACCGATATGAAGAACATTTGCACTTTTTTTTATAAGGAATTATTTTGCGTCAACGCCGTTGACGTTGGTATCCTTGGTAATAGAAGCTTCGCCATGTTGTTAGAAAGCAGAGAAATGTTTAACTTTTGTTTGATTTTTTGATACTTTTGCTACATTCTTCATATTCCATTTTCGGTGTTGACAAAATGATTTTTGTCCCCAGAAAGTTACAGGAGAAGAGTAATAAAAGGCAAGTTTTTATTTTATTTTTTATTAACTTTTAAAAGTCAATTATTACGTTGTTTTCTTTGTTTTCATTCAGTTTTTTTTTTTTTTTTTTTGTAACTGTTTGTTTATCTCTAATGATTTGTTTTGATAAACACAAAAGAAAATTGTTCGGATATTAGCGATAAAAAAAAGAAAACAGAAATTTACTTAGACTTGATCAAGTTCTACTTTCATTGAAATGAAAAATAAACAAACGATGTTGATCACCCGGAAAATTAAAGACACTTTTTTAACATTTTCAAATTTGAAAAAATAGAATTATTTCTTTAAAAAAAAAAACGAATTCATTACTTTCATTTTTGTTGGGCATATTTTTCTAATTAGATTTCTAAAACAGAGGAATAACTCTTATGTCCAATGCTAAAAGAAAGTGAATTTCTTTTTTAATTAAAGGAAAATGCAAATAAGAAAAAAATTGTAGATTTAAAAACTGAAATTGTTAATTTTTTTTTAAAGTTTAATTTTTACTTTTGTAAAATTTCCTAAGTGAAATGAAAATATTTTATTCAAATATCCACACTGTATAATTGTTCGTAACAATACAATTTCAGCTGGATTTAGGAACATTTGTCTCAGTCTAAAGAATATTGGTCTAAAAGGGGGAACCTGTCTAAGGACATTGGTCTATGGAATACCCATCTTAGGACCATTGGTCTATAATAATATGCTTTAATAAATTAACATTTTATTCATGTACAAAATACTCAATTTTATTGATATTCACCATATTTGTGGAAAAATAAGTGAAATTACCTGCGTGTATGGGGTTGCAGTCAGGTGTGAGAGCTGGAGTGTTTGGCATGGATTTGTTGCGGACCCGGTAGGGTGCAGTGCTGGATTATACTGAGTGGCCTTGTGCCAGACACCACACTAAACTACCGAGCCTACAAGCAAAGTAAAAATGCGTGAATGAACAACGAAGAAATGTGAAAAAAAATCCACACGTGCATAAATAAAATATATTAACAAGATAGCCTCCTCGGAATGACTGAAAAAGACTGGATTTCAACAAGAGTAATCTTTATTTAATACAGGAAAAACAAGTAATTTGTCCCGTGGTAGAGACCAATGAAAAAGTTCCGGCGCCAAAATGGAAAAGCAAGATGGCTAAAAAGGCGGGAAAAGGTTCTTGAAGAAAAAAAGGTTCCAGTAAGTCAATGTACAAGGTAATATTCATACAAGGAAAAAATACTCACTGCGAGTTTAGGTAATGTGAGTGAATGTTATGTACGTATTTTTTTTTTTTTTTTTTTTTTTTGTACTGGTTCAAAACAGATTTCTGACGAGACTCAAAGTGGACGACGGATTGTTTTGTATGTTCTGCATCGTCTCGGAGGAGGGCTTTGAATGACGAGCCAAAAAGGACGAAAAATTAATTATTTGGTATTCTCATAGTCTTGTGAAAGAAATTCCGAATGACGAGCCAAAAGTGACGAGGCAAAAATTATCTGGTATTGCATCGTCTCGAGAAAGGGTTCTTGAATGACCAGCCAAAAGGACGAAAAATTAATTATTTGGTATTGCATCGTCTCAGAAAAGGATTCTGAATGACCAGCAGAAGGGACGAGGAATTAATTATTTGTGGTCGCATAGTAAGATATCCTTCGTCAGTCAAACTGAAATATTGACGTGGATAAAAATGAGTCTGCCCAGGTCAGAGTCTGGAACACCAACTGACTTTTTTGAAACAACAGTTTGTCGTTGACGTCACAAATTTTTCGCGGCAAGATTTCAAAAATCTAATTTGCATAAATAGTAGTAGCAAGTCGCTTGGTTGGTGACCAAAGCAGTTACTACTGTATTAGACCGAACGAGGGAGAAAGGGGGTGTCAAAACGCGGCACACACAATAACAGTGTCGGAGAAAGGGAGGCAACTTCAAGCGTAAAATGTCGTAGATGGAATAATACATTATTCCACAGATTGTTTTTCAAAGTGAGGCCACTCCAAGCACTGTTTTTTGTAATCTTTTTACCAGAAGGGATGGGATGCACAGGTCTGCCACCTTGATACTTAAGACTTGTTTTCCCTTCTCACCATTTTTTGTGAGAAGGACCTTATGAGAACAGAGTTGTTCCGTTGACTCTCTTCTTCTCATTATTAATTGATCCCTCACTGAAATTTGGGTCACAAGACTAGGTATTGTTTCACAACACTTACTGTACTGGAACAGATTCTGATTTATCCTTTGAGTTGAAAGAAATTTTTGACATATTACAGAATAATATTTAACTTATAGCAACATTAATTTCTGATAATACATGTGGTTTATAACAATCCACAAAAGACCATAATTCTCTAGACAAATATTTCTTATATGTATATTCTTTAGAAGAGTGTTCCTTAGACCAATATCCTTAGACAAATGTTCTGGATCCAATTTCAGCTATGCTATCATCAATCAACTTATATGAAAAATAACACCAAAAACAGATCTGAAAATTTGAGCAAATATTGAGCAACCATTTCTATTGTTTTTCCTCTAAGTTATAGGTTTGCCTATATACTGATTTTATGCTTTTATTTTTATGTCTTTCTTTTAAAGTTAAACCCTCAAAATGGCACCAATTACAGAAGGAATGGAAGGAAATCCGTGCAGAAACCTTATCCTTTTCAATGCCTCCAAAAATGAGCAGCTTACTCTTAACCGAGGATTCAAGGTATTGAGTCGGAAACTACGATCCCAGTGGCAATTCCAGAGTAACAAGGATGAAATCAGTGACAAGAAGTTGTCTGATGTCAGCGTGTATGTCCTGGCAGCACCCCGCGAAAAATTCACACAGAGTGAATTCAATGCCATCAAGAGGTACATTGCAAGTGGTGGAAGTGTGCTTGTTTTGCTCAGTGAAGGGGGAGAGGAGCGCCTGCAAAACAACCTGAATTTCCTTCTTGAAGAGTTTGGAATCATGGTGAACAACGACTCTGTTGTTCGTACAACATACCATAAGTATTTCCACCCGAAAGAAGTCTTGGTACAGAATGGCGTTCTGAACCGTGCTATCAGTCTTGCTGCCGGAAAGCTAATAATGGGTGGAGCTGGTGAAGGTGACAATGTAAACAACGCGCAGGCACTTTCATTTCTGTACCCATTTGGGGCAACATTGAATGTGATTCGGCCTGCTGTATCAATTCTGTCTTCAGGCAGCGTCTCATTTCCTCTTAACCGTCCGGTATGTGCGTTGAGCTCTGAGAACAAGTCCCATGGTAAGCTTGCTGTTCTCGGCTCTGTCCAGATGTTCAGCGATGGCTATATTGAAAAAGAAGAGAACATGAAAATCCTGGAAGTGTTACTCAAATTCCTTACGACAAACGACATCAAGCTGAACCAGATTGATGCTGATGATCCAGAGATATCAGATTATAATATGCTGCCTCAGGTAGAAACAGTATCTAGGGAGCTTAAAACATGCCTTCAGGAAACAGAAGACATACCTCGGGACATTGCCACCCTGTTTGATAATTCCTTGTACAAGCTGGACACATCTCTTGTGCCAACTGCAATCCAGTCTTATGATGAACTCCATGTGAAACATGACACTCTTGCTTTGATCACTCCACAGTTTGAAACCCCACTTAGCCCCCTGCAACCAGCTGTGTTTCCCTTGTCGCTCAGAGAACTGCCTCCACCCAGCCTTGATTTGTTTGATCTTGATGAGCAGTTCTCGTCAGAGAAGGCCCGCTTGGCCCAGTTGACCAATAAATGTTCTGATTCAGATTTGGAGTATTATGTCCGAGAATGCGGGGATATTCTTGGAGTGACCAGTAAACTGTCATCAGACTCAAGAGATGCTAAGCATATACTCGAATATATCTTTCACCGAGTGGTTGAGTTTAAAAAACTGAACCAGGAAACAGAATGTGAAAACATATAAACTGCACAAAATAGAATTTTCATTTGACATTGTATTAAAAAGATTATACATCTTCATTTTTTTTTAAACCTGATCTTATATTTTGACTATTTTTAAAAAATTTTGAATGTATTCTTGAGGTCATGAAAAGTCAGTATCCATAAATGGTATTTGAAACCTGAAAAAATCAGGGCATATATTATCTCTTAAAATAACATCAACAGGGTTAGTTTCTCTTTTCAATGTTTCATCTCTTTCAAACAAATTACATTATTTAAAATAATTTTTTTTTTCATGGTTGAAGAAGCTATCTCTTCTGTGAAGTGGAGAATGAAAAAGTCTACTTTTTGTTAAAGTTTAAAAAAGAAATACAACTTTATTAATGTAGTGAAACTAAAAAATAAATAATTTTCTCTTTATTTTTTTTCTTGGAATTTTCTCTTTTCTTAACTATTTTTTTTAATGTATTCTTGACATCATGAAAAGTCAATATCCGTAAACGTTATTTGAAATCTGGACAAACATCAGGGCATATATTATCGTTTAAAATAACATCAACAGAGTTATTTTCTCTTTTCTACAGTTTATATCTTTCAAACATTACATTATTTAAAATAACATTATTTTTGTTTTTCATGGGTGAAGGAGCTATCTCTTCTGTGAAGTGTAGTGTCAAAAAAGTCTGCTTTTTGTTAAAGTTTAAAAAAAATGAAATTTTATAAGTGTAGTGAAACAAAAAATAAATAATTTTGTCTTCATTTTTTCTTGATTATTTTTCCTCAAACATGTTTATAAACACCTGTAATTTTTATATAAAAATTGTATTTTGCATTAATCCATTTTGCAATGTAAAAATTAAAAATTCTCACGTTTTCTTTCATTTGTTTGTCTTTATGCATACCAGCTTGATGTTTATGTGCATACAAAAATAATTTAGGTGGTTTCCAAAAACATATATATATATCTTCAACCATTATGCCCCTTCCAGATTGCAGCCATGGCTCTTCACAGCTTTCTTTTCTTTTGCTATCTTTAATCTGTACATCGCCATGATTGTTCTTTAGAAAGATAATGACAGTTTCCCATTGTCTTTAATGTTTTGAATTCTGAGTTGTCCTTCTCCTAGACTGATTACCAACCAAGGCTAGAGGGCCTAGTCTGCCCTGATATTTAAGAAGAGATGAACTCATGCCTTTTACAAAAGTATTAGTGAAATGTGAAAGCAAATTTTCAAAGCTACTCTTTCATCTTTGCTGCTGTTTTTACTTGTCATGCTGTTAACTGTTGGGCCACTTACTCTTCTATATGACATGTCCCCTCAGGACATAGGCAGTCATGGCTCTCCCCAACTTTCTGTCTCATGTGGCTCTTAGCAGTTTTCACCCTTTGCTAAGGCCCCCATCTCTCTCATTCCACCATCGATTCACATAAGCTTGTCAGGTAAGTGGCTCACTGCTTTCCCCTATCTCTCTTGCCCTCAATACATCCTTTTTAGGATTAAGTTTTCTGAGCTCTTTTTCCTCATTGGGTGTCCAAGGAATTTCAGTTGTCTTTTCTTGATTTTGAGTATAAGTTTTCTTTTTGTTGCCATTTTCTTTAAGACTTCCTTGTTGCTTACTCACTTCCACCATGGAATTCTCACTATCCCTCTGTAGAACCACATTTCTGCTGCTTCTAGATTTTTCCTCATCCTTGGGGAGATTGTCCAACATTCATTGCCATAAAAGAAGATAGATACCACATAGCAATCCCTAACTCTGTTTCTAACAAAAATTTTTCATTTCTCAGTACCTTGCTTAGTTTTTGGAATGCTTCTTTTGCAAGTCCAAAGTGTCTTCAGATCTCAATGTCACATTTTCCATCCTTCCTTAAAACTTTTTTTTTTCTCTTGCTGATGACCATACATTCTGTCTTCTTGCAGTTGATAGTCCTTTCTTCTTCCTTTCTTCTACCACTCTGTCTTGGAGGTCCATTAATTTCCTTTCCAATTCAGCCATCAATACAGTATCATTTTTGTATTTTATATTGTTAAGATTACGCCTACCGAAAATAATCCTGGTTGGGTCTCCAGTTCCTTCAGGATGGCGTTGATGTAATGGTTGAATAAATCTGAGTTGAAAACGTATCCTTTTCTCATACTCCTTTATATTTTTGTGTAGATACTCAATTTATTTTCTCTCCATATGCAGGCGGTTTGCTTCCAGCATAAGTTCTGGATTATTCTAACATTTATTCCAAATAAATTTAGTTTTCCCAGCAGTTCAAATAATCATCTATACTTGTGTATAAATTTGAGTTTTTAGAGTAACTGTTTCGGCCAAAATTTGATTGTTGACCATAATTTCGATACGTTGACACTCATACCAGATGGAAAGCATTAGAAGCAATCCTTTTCTTCTGCCATGGTAAATATTGATTACAACCAGTAAATGATTGAGACGTAAAATTTGTGGCAGTTAGTAATGAAAGTTATGCAATGCCTTCAGCGGCTGAAACTTACACTTTCTTGCAGTTTCTCAACTTGAAGTTCTTAGCTTATTATATCATACTATAAACTGCGGCATACAAGTCAAGTTGTTGTGGATTCCGAGATGAAACCCGGTCTCCAATGAATGACAAATGCAGGGATGAAATATTGCAGATAAATGCATTGACCTAATAATACAATTGGTAATACGGTTAGTAGATCCAGAAATGCAGTTAGTAGCAATAATAATATATAAACAGTCTGGGAAATTCAGTATCAAAGTATGACTTCCTTCTGAGTCTACGTGCTCGCAACTGTGACTCCTACAAAGTGGTTACCTCCCGCTCTCACTCTCTCACTGTCCCACTTCTGGGTATTCACCGGCAGCAGTACAAGTACACACTGGGCAAGTCCACTTGTATAAAAAGGGGTGGACCCCTTAACACAAGTTTTCAAGCCTAAATATCTTTGCAAAACTAGGGGTCAATTTATATGCCAGGTATAAAATGCAAACCATTACTACTGAGTTGTAAAGAACTGGGGCAGCACTTCTAATAATTACTGTACATTCACACTAAGTCTATCAAAAAGTCTATCACACTAATAACTTGTGAACATAGTTGGTGTATTAACACAGAAATTAATATAAAATAATAAAATAGTAACACAAATTCAGTATTCTATTAATGCTATGACACAGGACACCCAACTGCTAATACACTAAGTGTAAACAGACCAAAATGCTGTTTACATCAGGTGGCTATTCAAGCAATGATATATGATACATAGCAGTACTCTCAAAAAACTGCCTGTTATGACATGTAATCTATGGTATTAATATTTTATAGGAATTGATTTTGATTTTAATATGTTTATCAGTAGACCTGATGAATTTTAAATGTTCACTAAGTTATACTGATACAATATATAGTACCTACTTGTGTGTGTTGTAGGTTGTTTGCTATATAACACGTATAGAAAAATATTATGGTTAGTGTCTCAATATACAGGTAAGTGGTTTGACCTTATGTATTTTTGGCACAGGTTATCATATACTATAACCTAACTTCATTTACCAGTAGGCCTAAGTTTTAGGCCACTGGTAGCCTGCAGTATGTTTGGAAGTTGACCTATATGGTAAGTATAGATGTAACTCAAAAGTTTGACCTAAAAATCTAGAGGTTGATTGGTATGCCACAATTTACAGTATGTGTTATTACAGTAGCTAAAGATATTTTCACATTCATTATAATCCATAGCTATCTGATATTATCACCAACAGTGTTTCTCAACCTTTTTTTACTTCAGGGCACACTTATAGAAGAAGTAAAATTATGGGGCACACTTTAAATTTTAATAAGAAAAAAGTATTTACACTATTTACATTGTTCAAACTGTTGCCCTCATCTTTATTCCCATACTCACAACATTTTGGCCGTGGTACACTCCAGCCTTCTTCAGGTGATATTTGTTCAAATTTCAAACTGAAACTTTTAGTTAGTCCACGAGGGTAGATTGTTCTAAATCCACGTGCCATGCCTTTGGATATCTCAGTCTTAGTTAATTCCCCCTGATAACTCAACTCTCCAATATCTGTCTATATTTCTGTACGAATAGGATAACTGAATTCAAAACCAGCAGGATAGGGGCTGGAAACTCCACCCTTTAAAAAGCCTACTTGCAACAGAAATCTCAGTAATGATATTAACATGGTGAGGCTGTGAGCCTATACTTTACGTGGAGTAAGAGGGACTCCTCTTTTTTTCTTGAATAGTGAGTCCTTATACCATATTTGATAACATAGATCTATTTTGTTTATATTTCTGAGATGAGGTATTGTAACTATTTATACTATTTACATTGTTTAGACTGTTGTCCTTATCTTTATTGTCATATTCATGATGTTCCGGCTGTTGTATGCTCCAGTCTTCTTCAGGATTTGTCTATATTTCTGAGATGAGGTATTGTAACTATTTATACTATTTACATTGTTTAGACTGTTGTCCTTATCTTTATTGTCATATTCATGATGTTCCGGCTGTTGTATGCTCCAGTCTTCTTCAGGATTTGTCTATATTTCTGAGATGAGGTATTGTAACTATTTATACTATTTACATTGTTCAAACTATTGTCCTCATCTTTATTGTCATATTCATGATGTTTTGGCTAGATCCAGAAAAGGCATAGCATCTAGCACTATCTACCTTGGTGGATGAAATAAAGGGTTGATTGATCCAGAAGTCACTTGACCCTAAGAGTTGAGTTCAATCCCTGGCCACTTTGAAAGTTGTTATTTACACTATTTATATTATTCCGACTGTTGTCCTAATCTTTATTGTCATATTCATGATGTTTCAGCCATTGCATGCTCCAGCTTTCTTCAGGTGATATGTAGGAATTTTGAACCGTAAGGCCTGTCACTAAAGTTAGTTTCTCTTTTCTGTCTAGGATTGCTGTTAACTCGACTGGTCTATCTGATCACAGTGCTTATACCAAGTGATGCCTTTCTGTGAACATTCACTAACCGATTGTGAATGCTTGCAGCACTTTCTCC